AGAGAGAGAGAGAGAGAGAGAGAGAGAGAGAGAGAGAGAGAGAGAGAGAGAGAGAGAGAGAGAGAGAGAGAGAGAGAATGAGATCTTCGTTAGCATAATGGAGTGTAATAAGCTGCTAGACGGAGAGAAAGCCACAAAGTGAGAGCAAGAAGTTTGTAGTTATAATGGTGGTAATAGAGGAGCATAGTCCGTCAATTACTTGTCTGCTTAATCCTCTTCGTCGTTGCAAGAATTGTTCTTTCTGTACGGACTTTTGGCCATTCGTTGAATAGTGTATATTATTCTTTTTGATTCTGACTTCAGAACATCCGTTGAAGAGCGTATGACGAGGCTAGGCTCTCGTACGGGTCGTTTCTGTTGTAGCTTGACGCTTAGGTCACGAAGGGATGGCGGCGAGCCTCTGCTGGGTCAGTGCGGGCAGCGATTCGAGTCGTGTTAGAGCTGTGTGTAGTTGTCCATCCCGACTCATCCGCACGTCAACGACGACGGCGATGCTGGTCTTGCTTTCGTTATTGCTCATGGGCGATGGACGACCGGTCGGCAGCGGGTCGTCTTTCTCGCAGTGGTCGGCGCTCTTTGTCGGTTCTCGAGCAGGACAAGGACGTCACCACGGAATTCGAGAAGAGAAGAGAGTACTTCAATCGGCCAACAGTTGTGTTGGTTTGAAGATTCTCAACGACTCCCTTGTGTCTTGCACTACCCTCATCAAGTATGAGGTCACAGCCCCGTTCGTGAAAGCTTCCAACGAGACGGCTATGGAGTGCCTGGCGGTGGCGCGCAACATCGTCTTGCACCCGAAAGGCACACAGTTCTTTTACATCCTCGATCAGGTCTGCTCGACGGAGAGCAGAAGCAGGCGGCGATTGTCGTTGTACGAGTCAGAGTTGGGCACGCAAGTTGTGGAGGGTAGGCTGATAACCACCTGGTGGCCCGGGTCTGATGGGCCGGGATCCCGTCTGCTCAACTTCACGTGCCTGGACTCCGGCTGCACGAAGCTCATGAACCTCGTGACGGGGATGGCTGTCTCGATGTCGGGATCGCAATTGATCTTGTCGGGATACTACGATTCGACTCCGCCGCGATCCTGGCTGACCACCCTCAGTACGGAGACCGGGGAAAGGGTTTCCGTCCCGCTGCTGAACGTGGAATTCGCCGGCGGCATCGCGATCAATCCCAACCTGACGAAGCTAGTCGTCACCAATGGCTTGGTGCCTCCTTGGCGGATCTTCTCTCTTCCCCTTTCCCTCGATGAGAACGGAGATCTACGGCAGCAGCAGGGATCCTCCTATTTCTCACCCTCCGCTTTCTTCTGGTTCGATCACTTTCTCGAGTGGGAGACGGCATCCATTTACTTTGGACCTTACAGTTTTCCTAGCGATGGCAGGTGCTTGTACTTCGTCGATCGCAATCCCGGCGGCAGCGTCTGGGCACTCAATCGTTCGTCGAATGTGGTCAATCTTGTCGCGGGAAGGGGATTAACCCCCAACCCTTCGCCGCAGATAGCACGGAGCAGTACTAGTAATTACAGCAGCAGCAGCGCAACCGGTAGCAGTAGTAGTAGCAAGATAGAGATGTCGAATGCTTTGAACGTGTCGTTCGGAAAGCTGTACGACCTCGCCGTGACGGAGGACGGTCTGATGATCTTCGTCTCGGAGAGAGACACAGGTCTTGTGAAGCTCATTGAGCTCGACGCTCCATGTGGAGGAGGGCGCAGAGTCACCGAGATCACTAAGTACCTGCTCCGCCCTGGATCCGGCTTGAATGGGTTGGCCATTCGAAATGACCGCGGGCGTCTTGCCCTCCTTACAGGTACGGATGACGGACAAGTGTTCCATCTCAGCATCAACAGGTCAGCTCTCGAGCTCAGCAATTTGGGAACCTTCTCAGACCCCCTTTCTCCAAACCCTAACCCCGACATTCGATCCACTTTCTCCGCCTCTCCTCCTTCTCGCCCTTCTTCCACGCCAGATGGAAAAGACTCGAGCATCCGTCGATATGTAACCGTAGGCGGCGCTGTTTTCTTATTTGTATGTTTGGTGGGTCTTGTTTATTATTTATGGCGACAGCACGCCCAAGCGGTCCTTATGCGCTATTATGACACACTCACCGGACTCAGAAAGTTTCGTTTGGAGACCTTAATTTCAGCGACGAACGATTTCCACAAAGATCGGCAACTTGGACGTGCTGGAGGCTTCGGCACGGTCTACTGGGGATCCCTGTCGGGCGAGGATGACCGTGCGGGTGAGGTGTCGGTGGCGGTGAAGGACATGGAACTGCCGCTGAAGAACAAAAAGGAAAAGCAATTTAAAGCAGAGGTTAGCATTCTCAGTCAGGTACATCACCCCAACATTTGCAAACTGAATGGCTTCTGCGTAGCAGAGAGTCGTCGCATTTTAGTATACGAGTACAAGGAGGGAGGGAGCTTATATGATAGACTATCTGTAGGACGTGAAGATCGACGGAAGAAAGACAAGAACGACAAGAGGGAAGAGCGAGAAGAGGGAGTAGTAGTAGAAGGAGGAGGAGGAAGAGGAAAAGCCGGATTGGAAGAAATACATCAGGTAGGAGGAGGAGGAGAAGGAGGAGGAGGAGGAGGAGGAGGTGGAGACGCCGTGAACAGACGTCGCTCGCCGCTTACTCTGGAAGAGCGTGTTGTGGTTGCCCTACAGATTGCCACGGCTCTTCGTTACCTTCATGACGAGGCTAATCMGCATATTATTCATGGGGATGTAAAGAGCCGAAACGTGTTGTTGGAAGGAGGAAGTGGGAGAGAGTTGAAGGCATGCCTAGCGGATTTCGGTTTGGCCAGAGTGCTCGACGATAGTCTGCTAACGAAAGCCAAGACTGTACGGCATTACCTGTTGTACGGAACGCCTGGCTACTTGGCGCCCGAGTACCTGGGGCGGGGAAAGCTGTCAAGGAAGATCGACGTCTACGGCTTTGGAGTTCTGGTGTTGGAATTGCTCACGGGGAGACCTGCGGTAATTCACGGCCGACGCCTTGTTGATGACCAGAGGAACCACTTAGACCGTCCGGATGAAGTCGATATGGAGGAGGTTGTTGATCCTTCTATTCGAGGGGAATTAAACCATCCTGTGATGACCAAAATCGCAAGAGATATGCTACGCGTTGCTTCCTGTTGTGTGATCGAGAACGAGAAAGAAAGGCCAGACATCAAAGACGTGACTCTGGCCATAGAGAGGATTATTGAGGATATTTAAAAAAAAAAAAAAAAAACTGCCAGGACTCATGGATACACGTTTTCTTAGTTGCCGTTGTTGGCTTTGGACATAGAGAGAATTCTAGAGGATAGACTCTGAGAACCCTAGATCAACTCTAGAAGATTTTCTAGAGTGACACTAGAGTAGTGGAGCGAGACCGTAAGTGTTCATGGATGTGGATCACGCACACTTTCCTTTTTTTTTCCTGTTTAGGCCGTGCGATGTCAACGTCCAACTAACCTTTGCCACAGTGTAAGAATGGCGAATTCTTTTACTCATCTGAGCCGATTGTGACTTGAACAGGCCCAACAGTTTTTTTTTTTTTAGCAGTTCATGGGTGTGCCAACTGAGCTATACAGTCTGCTAAACCCGGTGGTCGGCGCCGCTGGCCTTTCGCTCAAAGGGCAGGGGCTCTGTGCCTGGCAAGCAGTGGCAACAAGATCGAGCTTTCAGAGAGTCGTTCACATTAGTTGATTGCAAATTTGCAATAGCGGAGCCGCTGGAGTTAGGGGAATGGCTGTAACGCTGGCTTTGGTGTAGCAGCCTACTAGCAGGTATGGCTAGACGCCTGTCAAGTTGTGTCAACAAGATACAAGTATGAGGGAATCACGTGGATTTTTTTTTTTCCGTTATATTGTTTACCGACCTGTCATGATGTTTATAAATCTTGCATAACTTTCGATCAATTATAAGTTAATAGAGGGGTAATGGCAGAAATAGCGCGTTTTCCAGGTTCCCCTGCGGAAATATTGTCGGGGTCCGAAAGAAAGATGTATTTTTGCAACGAAAGTGGGACACTGTCCCCATTGACTCCCCAAATAGTTTTGCTATGAAACTACCGGGACCTGTAAAGCTGCAACGAGAGATGTATTTTTGCAAAGAAACTTGCGCCCCTTCACTAATTTGGCTGTGAAACTACCGCCAACGCTCTATTTGGGAACTGGCCCTAGTATAGATGACATGTATATGCATACAGGAGAGAGAGAGAGAGAGAGAGAGAGAGAGAGAGAGAGAGAGAGAGAGAGAGAGAGAGAGAGAGAGAGAGAG